TTTTTTTTTTTTTTTTTTTTTTTTTTTTTTTTTTTTTTTTTTTTTTTTTTTTTTTTTTTTTTTTTTTTTTTTTTTTTTTTTTTTGTGAGTTTTATAAGAAAGGAATTCTAAACAAATTCCTGAATGAGACCTCTGACTGTCTCGTGCCCAAGAAGAAAAATTGGGCAAGGGTGAAGAATTTTAGACCTATTAGTATAGTGATCAGTGTCTATTAGTGTTGACACAAGTTTCTCTCTATGTTCAACGAATCTAAGGTATTCTCCTCCGATTTGAAGGTCAATATTCATTGGCTTCAATGTCCCTTTTATTATGATCTAATGCGATCAAAGCTCCTGTTGGATCTATGGTTGGAATTTGAGATTCTTAAAGGATAAGTTTCTTCCGTGAGCTGCCAGCTTTGATTTTGCTAGTTTGAAAGCTTCTTCATTGTGTTCTCAATCCAAGTGCTTTTCTTCGTTAGGTATTGATCTTAATTTTGTTTTTCCTTTGTGATGAGCTTTATGCTCTTATTTTCACTCCCAGGTAAGTTTGAGCATTACTCTTTTTATTTCATCAATGAGAAGTTTTCTACTTCGTTAAAACAAAATAAGGAGATTCTGCCTAAGACAATATCCAAGTTCCAAAGGGCCTTTATAGATGTAGACAAATTTTGGACTAGGCTATTATTGTCAACAAGGCCATTGAGGATTATGGAAGTTGTAAGCATGAAGAATTGATCTTTAAGGTTGATTTTGAAAAAACTTATGACCATGTGGATCGGGATTTTTTGGAAGAAAATTTTTGGCAACAAATGGAGATCTTGGATCTCGAGATGTATCAAGTCCATAGAGGTAGATTTGTGCATCGAGGAGTTTGAGACAAGGTAATCCTCTCTCTTACCCGTTTTTTCAAGTGGAAGATATTTTGAGTAGTTTGGTTTCAAGGGTAGAGAACAACCTTCCTCAAGAATTTCGGGCAGGAAGAGATAAGCTTCTCTTATCCTATCTCTTGTTAGCTAACAACATAATCTTTTCTATGCAGGTAAGGACGAGGCTTTTTATTAATCTCATCCTCATTCTGTCTACTTTTTTATTGATCTTTGATCTGATAGTTTGGCTCCTTTTTGGGGCTGTCTTTTTGTTTTCCTTTACATTCTTCTATTCCTTCTCAATGAAAGCATGAATTCAAATGTAAAAGAGTTAAATAGTTTTGTTTCTTAGCGTAGATTCAACTACAAAGAAGGAAAGACCCCTAGTGCCGTGTAGCAACAATTGCATGAGCAAGACTCACAGATTTCACATGTTGATGGCGATGTAATATTTAGATTAACAAATTCTGTATGCTTTATTTTCATGACTCTACTCAAACAAAATGTTAAGGATAGATATTGAAGGACAAGATCGGCTCTCTTTCCTCATCTTGGAAGAGATATTGACTCTTGCATGAAATATGAGTATCATTTAGAATAATAAAATAGTTCATCCATCTGTCATCTCAGCTATGTAAACATTAAAACCTCAGCGTACTTGAGACCATTTCTGATTACAAAATTCGAGATTGATCTCAAACTAAAACAACAGATAAGAGTCAATGGGTTGATGAATTTTTCCATTCTGCGACAGAATTCTACTATACCTGGTATAAACACGTCTCATATATGTAATAGCAGTTGCAATAACCCTGGAAAAACGATTAAACACAAAAACAATAACTTATCAAAGGAAACAATTTAGAAAATTAAGCCAAGTGAATTTCCATTGGAAAACATGAACTAGTTTATGACAAAAGCTAAAATAACGATGACGATGTGTTTCTCATTGAAAATAGAGAAAGAAAGACTTACATATGTTTATGTATGAATCAAGTTGAATAGTATTAAATATCAATGTGTACAAAACAAAAGGGCAAATTCAAGAGCACCTCTTCCCTGCAGCTAATCATTGCACCACTTCCCTCCAGCTAATCACTCCCCCAGTAGCCTTCCTTCCACCCCTTTTTACTATCTTATTAAAAAAAAATAGTAACCAATTCCCTAGATTCTCTTGCCCTCATAACTACTACTCAGATTCCTTACATAAAAGATATTTCTGGAGGACAAAAAGGGGCCACACATTTTATCAAAAAAAAGGACAATGAAATCATTCAGTATGATTCTTGACACTACTTAAGCAACATAAAACACCGACTAGAAGACATGTTGGAATGAGCATGTCTTTTCTAGTCACATTGTAGTTTGTTTGATGGTTCCATAACCATGGGTTCCAATGTACGTCATCTATGGACCAACTAAACCAATGACCCAGTGAGACACCCTTTGATGAATCTCCAGCCATGGCAGCTAATAAGTTCTCCACCAACAAATTTTGATTTTGTCCTCATCAAAGTAGTTATTATTTCTATAAAAAGACCCTACTTCTTCTCATTCTCCCTCATGTTGTGAGGATAAGTTAGATGTTGAATCAATTGTCAGCATGAACAGTGTGGAGTCTACCTTGCTGCCCATAGAAAACAAGAGTGATGATATTGTAGTTGAGGACTCTTATTTTGAAGATCTATTCTTCATTTCAAGAATGTGACAATGAGTTTACTCAAGCTCATAGCCTTGAGTCTTGAGAAATTTCTCCCATAAATTCGGATGGAAATAATGTTCAAGCATAGTTTTACAGCTCCTTCTCCAAGCCTTTTTTTCATTAGCTTCTCCGCAGCTTTCATCGCTGTTTTTCTCCTAATTTGGTTGGGGTTTTGGCTTTTCTTGTTTTTTAACTCCATTGTTGTTTGTTCACTCTATCCTCGAAGGTTCTTTAAAGTTTGTTCTAGGTTTATTCTGCTGGAGCTGGTTTGTCTATTGCTTCTTGGTCTTTTGACCTTGTCTAATGAGCGTCCCTAGTGATTTGGTGGCATCTCTTTCAAGTTTTTGTTGGCCTTTTGTGCACATTTCAGTGGGCAGCTTCTGTGTGGGGCTTTTTTCCGAAGGATCTTTAGTTGTTTTGTGAGCTTAATTTCTTGTTTTTTGTGGGAGTTTCCTTTTCTGTCTCTTACTCGTAATTGGGTTGCTCTTGTGTTCCTTTTGCTTTTGTTTGGTTCTTGGTACATTCACTCCCAAATCTTGTACAAGCATTAGTTTCTTTTCATTTATTCAATGAAAAATTACATTTCTTGTTTAAAAACAAATGGCAAGAATACCTACTACTTACAATATTGACTAAATACACTCTTCTGACAAACCTTACTAAAGGGGCCAACATTTCTCCTAATTACAAAATATACCCTCTGATACACAATTATCTAACCAGATTAATTCCCTTGTGCACTCCTTGTAAACGTAAAGTTATGAAGGTTTTGCCTATCCTATCACATTTCATTGATAGAATAAGTAAAGATATAGAGGAGAAAATCCTCAAACCCGAGAAAGGAACTTATAGAAAAGACTTCCAGGTCATCCATGGTACAGAAATACAAAGAATTTGTTTTCTTTGTTCCTACAACTTAGCAGTAATACAAGAACTTCGAAAAGGAAACCACTGTTGAGTCCATAAAAGAAAAAACAAATAACTCAACATGAATTCATGCATTTTCAAGAAATAATTTCCATGCAATTCTGGACAATATCTTACAAAATTGTGAAACATAATGATATAATATAGAAATAACCAAACCATGACTACCTTTGTCTAACTTTCACATGTTGAGCCAACTTCAGTATATCTGAAACAAAAGGAAAACAAGAATCAGAGAACAACCTATTCTCTTACTTTTTAAAACAATCTTTGATTTTCATTCATAAAGATAGAAAAATGTACCATACGAATTTAGGAAGACAAAGAAAAACCAAACTAATAAGAAAATATCTACGAGAAAAGCTTGGTCACTTTCTCCTCCAAAAGTTCTCTTGAGGTTCTTCTTTTTGCCTTTTGTGTAACCCTTTCAAATTCTTTGTATCATAGTGATAGACCCAATTATGCGGCTCTAAATCTAAATAGAACTATGTTTTGGTCCAATACCGCATGCTCTCAAAGAATTTCCTCTAAAATTTTGGTGTTCTATTTACATATTTTTGGACATAAATTACCGTAGGCTAGGATAAGACTAGATTGGTAAAATCTTGACCCTGTGAGTGAAATATAAGACTGTTGCATGCAATTTGTGGGTGCCAAAATTTTGTAGTACCGGTTTTTCGTTACCAGCCCCCATAAACAATCCCATACTCGTATTTGAATTCATTTTTTTCATGATAAGAAACTGAACTTGAATGGAGAAACGTGAAAAAATATACGAGGGTATACAAAAAGCCCAGCAGAACTACAAAAATGGGCTCCAATTCAACAAAATTAAACCAAGATCATAACTGCAAAAAGGACTAGTGATGGACGCCTATAAGGAGACATTAAGCCTCACCACCTCCAAATCCCCAGCACGAGATCGCACCACATCTCTAAAATTTCTATTATTCCTCTAGAACCAAACTCCTCACATGGTAGCAAAGGAACTAACATGACACAGATCTATGCCCTTTGAAGAAAAGGTAAATCCAATAGCACCTCCTCAATCATAACGGTAACAATCACCATTCCACATCCAACACAAGCCAAAAAATTCCAGCTATCGAACCTAGAGAGATTAAACAATCTAACACCACCACAATAAATGATGAAGATCCTATACTTGATGCTTGTAAAGAATGCATCATTGCAAGAAAAATAATGAAAGAAGGATGTTTTAGACACGATCCATAGTGTTGAATCTCCCACATAAAACCTATCAAAAAAAAAATAATAATAAATAAAATAAAATAAATTGCTAAAGATTTTAACCTTCCGAGTAGAAAGCTGAGGGGGTATGAGGTGAGGAAAGGACCAATAACAGAAGAAAAAACTGCAACAGAAACCCCAAAGAGAAGAATCCTCATATATGATGGGTATTTCCTCTGATCATAATACTAGAAAGAATGCAGCAACATATTTGAAGACTTGTAGTTCAAAATAATAGTAAGATTTGAGTTGAGATCAACAGTTCTTGTAAAATCTTTCATCCAAAAACCTTTTCCTTCCATCGGCAATTTAATATAAAAATTCTTCAATTTCAATCCCAAAAACAAAAAGATATTTCATTCTTTGACCCATCAACTCTTGTAAAAATCCATGAAAGCATTCATCATAATCAAAATACAAAATCAGGCTAGAAAATCTACTCAAATTCTTCCCGAGTCCTCAGAATCTTTTCTTTTTTTGACGAGAAATAAAACTTTTCATTGAATTAATGAAAAAGAGACTTATGCTCAAATGATACAAACTCCATAAACGGAATCGTTGGGATCAAAACAGCAAGTCCGGATTTTCATTGTATTATTGAAAAAATTTTCCTTTCCCATGCATCCTCTAACTACCTGTCAAATCAATCCAAAAGAATACCTTAGGTCTTTCTGACCCAGTCCAGTACAAGGTAAAATTACTTGCTTGCCAAGCTAAATGAGTACGGAGCACCTTCGCCCACCCTAGTGATACCCGATGCCCCATTTAGGAAAAGAAGGAACCTTCCCTTGTGAAAAGGTACCCCTCCTCCTCCTGTGATAGGGCGAGAAATCTTCTTTCAACACATATTCCGCAATCATGGACCAAGCTCGTTGTTGAAGACTACCAGCCGAAAGACACCTGTTGAGTGCGGTCTCAAATTTGGTGCTTGAAAAGGGCAGTGTTCTGTACGGAAAACCTAATCTAAGGACCCAATCAGGCTTCCTCACCACTCTCGTGGAGGTCGAATCATATGCATTTATTGGGTTGCATGTCTATGTTTTGCACATATTGTAGTCAAATCTTATTCACCACAATACCAACCATGTTCTCTCGTCTCTTCTTGGGAAAAGGGTAGTCTAATCGATATCCTCTTGTACTTCGATGTGCATTGTTGAATATTCAGTAACAAGAGCTTTCTAGTCTTTATTACCAGCAGCCATCATAAGCCAACTAGTTGCTCCAATACCAAAATGGTGTACCCTAAACAACAAAGGAGAGAAGTCTCCAAAAAATCTAATCCAAAATAATTTATTATGATTCGAAGTAAGTTAAAGAGGTGGCACATCTAAAAAAGAAAAGAAAACAAATCAAGAGGAAAATAAAGAGGTTGGCGCATCAATTCTCTTGCTCTACCAATTTTCCCTTTGAATAATTCGGAGAAACCATATTGGATCGAAGGATCTTTTCCCAGTGGAATCCAGTGAATTATATAATTGCGCTCCTACTTTGGTAAATTTCGATCTATAACTCACAAGCTGAGGAAAGCTTCAAAAGTAGTGTGAATTGAAGCTCAAATCCAAAAGACCATGTAAGGTAAATCCAAAAAAGTGGTTTCTTGCCCTCTATGCACATAAGAGCATAATGTGGAAAAAGAGGAAGGTCGAATTTACTTTGGATTGTGTCATATGTTATTAATGCCACCCAAAAGGAGATCTCGACATTAATATTTTCACTTTCTTTCAATATCCATTCTTCCAAATCCATTTACTTAAGCTAGAGCCAAGCTTCAAAGCATTTTGACAAATCCCAAAGCCAAGATGTCTACTTACATTTATCATCACATGGTTGAATCCAAGACCATTTGTGGGGTTCCAAACTTGACTAATAAAAAGGTCTTCAGTGTTGAGGATTGCATAAAGCCTGGGGGTGTAATTGAAATATAATCATTTTGCATTCATCTATTTTCCCTCTAGATTTCTTCTGGGTAAGTTGGCAGCCACCACGCTTCTCCACAAAGCCTCCTTTTCTGTGACAGAACTCCAAAGCCATTTGTTTACAGATGAGATGAAGGAAACATTAAAAATCTCTCTTGTTGCCCACTCCTTTTCGCATTGGGTAAGTAACAGGCTGAAGGAAGATGGGACATTGCCTAGGATCGCTTGCATATTGTCGATAACGTTAGTCCAAAGAACTATCCTACTTTGAAATTAAGAGAAATTTATTGTGTGTTCTAATTAAACTAAGAGAACAGGGGGGGACGGTGGTAACCAATACGAGATCAAAAATCCGTTAATAAACAAAATAAAAAAAAAAAAAAATGAAGAAGAAGAGGAGGAAGATGCGAAAAGGGTAATTACAATTGGCCATGTGCATCTTAATGAGCTTGAAGTCCTCAAGAGTAATGCCCCTATCTTTATCGAGCGATTGCACCACATCGACCTCCTCTTGGTCCATGAGTTGTTTGCTGTAGGATACATCGGTATAAAGAAATAAAGAACAAGAAAACTGGTACAAGATGTATAAAAGAAAAGAATCGGTTTAGCGCGAGGGCATTCTATAGGAGCTTACTAGTGCGATGAAGTCCAGAAATTAGCAGCCATGCTTGAAACAAATTTGCCAAGTTTTGGCTGTCCGCCACCGCAAGGAGTTTTATAGCAGTCGGTGTTCGACGATTGCAGCAACTTCCTGCCGATTTGTTACCGATAGTTGAATTAAAATAATTAATTAAGAATTAAATAGCCGACTTTAATCAACTTTTTTCTCGACCAAATGTTGGGTGAAGGAGGGAGATTCTGTAAACCTAAAGCTTTGAACTTGTATGGTTAAAAAAATCAATTTCATTCAAGGATTAGATTGTTTACCACATTTATATAATTATATTCGTGAATTTAGCTCTACAAGTCTTCCTTATTTAAGCTAGCTAATTATTTATTAATTCTTGGAGAGTATCAAGACTCTTTGGACTTTAAGCACTTGGTATTTTTATTATTGAGCAGTTAAAATTCTATCTCATATATTTATGTAATGTCTTTCTATACTATAATGTTTATTAGACGAAAAAAAAAACTAATAGCATATTAATCTACCTTAAGACATTAACAATAGGGTAATTTTGGGTTAATCCGTGTGTTTTGACGTATATTTATATTAAAATGAGTAGAACTTGAGGCATTTGAATAAATCGAAATAATTAAGATTTTATTGATGATGAAACTATTTTGACTATTCAAGTATAAAAAATAAGATAACTAAATTTGACTTGAGAAGAAGTCTCAATGTCCACATATACAACCAAGTAAAGAGAAAATTGGGTATGTATCATTAAGGTGTTAGTTTTAGTGTCTCACGGCTACAATCAACATCAAGCTCAATACTAGAAAGAAACGCATATGCATTTTTATCTTCGTAATTTTGATGCTAGTTCATCGAAGTTACAAAAAACGCATTTTTTTTACCCTATCAACTTGCTTTACAAACCAATTCGTATCCCGAACTCATTACAAGTTTTCTTCCATGCTTGGAACTTTCTATGTGTTTTATAAAATACAATAATTACAAAGCATTTGAAGTTTATGAACACATAGATGATAAAATCCAAGGAAAAAAAGATTGCAGTTGATTTATAGCCATGGCAATCCAAAGAACATGAAAATATGTCACAAACCCTAGTCGTCTGGGTCCCTCCCTTTCTTTTCAAATTTAACGCCTCCTCTATGCTCCATCTTTCACTACCGCGCAGTGTCGCTGCCGCTTGCATTTCTTGGCTTGTTGTCTCACTCCCTTCGATCTTCTTCCTCTCTTGATCTCAGGTACTCTTATCGGTCTCAATCTCTCTCTCTCTCTCATCACAGTTTCTTCCCCCCCTTCCATTGACGTGTTGGTTGGCGGGAGAAATTTAATTCCTGTTGTTTTTTTCTTCACATGTGGGATTGTTGTTCGGGTTGGTAGATAACAACTTGCGTAGTAGTTGTAGTAGTAGTTGGGCCTTGTTTATCTTTCATAAACTTTTTTTATCCAGATGTAGATGTTAGGGTAGCAACATCAGTTTGCAAATTGGAACTGACGATCATCTATAAAATATCTTGCAGCCACTTGAAAACACTGTTAGCTTGGACTAGCCCGGTCAGTTGATTATTTTCTTCACACTGTGTTCTACCAAAACCCTACATTTCGTGTTTCCTCCGTTATCATGAAGCTCGTTAGGTATGCCATTTTCTTTTATCTCCTTCAATTCTTCTTTGAAGTTTTTTTTCTTGATTTATTCATTGTTCACAACATTGAATGGTTGTTTTGATGTTAAGAAACTTTGTTTTGATGAATGAACAGGTTTTTAATGAAACTCAATAATGAAACTGTCTCAATCGAGCTTAAAAATGGAACTGTGGTCCATGGCACCATCACAGGTTTCCATCTCTCTTCCACTCGCAACATCCTCTGCATAAAACTTAGAATTAATCTGGCGAAACTAACTTAGATTTAATCTGGTGAGACCCTAGTTTTATGATTTTGCAGGCTAAGCATTTTAAAACTTCAAGTCCAATTCTATTTTCTTCATTATATTCAACTATTATCTGAAGTTGTCTAGCATTTCGGTCCAAAGTATAAATGGAATTTGAACTACACTGTCAATTTTGAGTGGTTTATGAAGTAGTATAGCATTCTTAATATCCTTAAACTACATTGATCCCTATTTGTATTGCTGTTAAATTTGATAATAATCATCTTTCACTAAAACCTATTGCATGCAAAAGTAGGGTTACTATTACAAGTCTAAATTAGCTAGCAACCTCTTTTGATCTGAGTGGTAGAGACCGAGAGTCTTGTTGAAGGAGGATTTTGACAGCAACTATGCTACTATGTTGTTTTTTAGGTGAAAAATAAATTTCATTCATCAATGAAATCTAAATAAATCATTGGATACTAGGTGATAAATTAGGGAGGTCAACTACTTCCCTTACTTGATGGGGATTACACAAATATTCTTTGACACTCCACCTCTAGCTAAGAAATAGATATCATTCATTCTGAGCTTGGATATTAACTCATGAAGTAGTAAGTTGTAAAGTTTTTTTGTCATCACATCTATCAGATGAAGCTGTGAGAGCACGTAACTCATGCATACGATCCCTTTGGAGCACTTCAATGGGCGTTACTGGCCTCTCTCATAATCACTTCTCTTAGAGTACTTCCATGGGCGTCACTTGCCTCTCTCGTGCTCTCTCCTCTTAGAGCACTTTCACGGGTGTCGCATGCCTCTTTCTTCTTGGAGCACTTCCACGGGCATCTCTTTCCTCCGGTGTTCTTTCCTCTTAGAGCACGTCCAAGAGTGTTGCTTGACTCTCTGGTGCTCTTTCCTCAGGGAGACATTCCACGGGCATCACTAGCCTCTCTCATGCTCATCTGCTTTCTCCTCTTGGAACACTTCTATGGGTGTTGCTCGCCTCTCTCGTGCTCATTCCTGTTGGAGAACTTCCATAGGTTTTGTTTGTCTCTCTGTTGCTCACTTTTGTTGGGGCACTTCAATAGGTTGCTTGCCTATCTCGTGCTCACTTCTGTTAGAGCACTTCCACGAGTGTCGCTCACCTCTCTCGTGCTCACTGCGATTATTGGCGGTACTGTCATTAATGTCGGTGGCTGATGCGACAGTGGAATACAGTGGCTGTTGGCGTGAGTGGGCAGTAGTGGACTTGATGTGATAGTGGTTTGAGGGCATTCTTGCGGCTTGAAAGCAAAAGCAGAAAGTTGGACTTACGCCTTTGCAATGGTGACCTTGCGGTGGACTGTGATACTCGATTGTGTGAGTTACTGTGATATACTCGGTTGAAAGCAAGAAGTAGTAGCGAATGGTTGGTTACTGTAATGCACAGAAGGTCGGCAACTAAGAAGGCTCTGAATGAAACTTATCATGATGGATTATCAGTGGTTATGAAGGTTTCACCGATTGAGTTAGTGGTTAGTTTTAGGCTCTGATACCATGTTGCAAGTCTAAATTAGCTAGTAACTTCTTTTGATTTGAGCAACAAAGATTGAGAGTCTTATTGTCGGAGGATTTTGATGGAAATTACGCTTTGATACCATTTGCAAGTCGTAATTAGCTTGTTATTGTTTTCGAAGTAACTAAATCTAAATAAATCCCAGGATACTAGGTGATAAATTAGGGAGGTTAACTACTCTTATTTAATGGGATTACACAAATATTCTTCAACACTCCCCCTCAAGCTGAAAAATAGATATCATTCATTCTCAGCTTAGACACTAACTCATGAATTACACAATATCTCTTAAGGCTAATTCTTCAACAATTACTTTAAAGTTTAGTATGTGACTAGTGCACAACTCCCTGACCTATAGAGGCTTCTAGATTTTTCAAAGATATGTTTCACAGAGGAACATTGCAATTGTCTTTACCTCATCTCTCTCCCCCAACCTCTGCCCTTTCACATCGATCATGGATCACCTAGTCTCCATCAAGCTTTCTAGCAAAAGTAGAAAGGACTAACCCTCCCCATTCCTTCATGATTGAAAGAAGGCTCTAGACCATTGAGATTGATGATAGATAGGCTCTCGAGCACAATTGAGCTTACATAATTAACTACTCGGTGAGTTTGCACGTTCTGAGACTCTTGAGGCAATTAGAATATTATAATTTTAGTTGGTTACATCTTCTGTTGGAGGATTTTTTTTCACTTGAGACAACTAGCATCCGTCTATAAACAATATGTTTGCACAAATACTTTTGAAACATATGTTATTTAGATGACTTGCATAGAGAGGGAGACTAACACCAGATCGCACAGCAGCTGCTAAGTTTAGATATTGTAATATTCTATCTCATTGCATGACCGTAAAGTAGATTCTGCACGTATTCTTTTTACTTTATGTTAAGTTCTGGTCAAGTATATCTGACAGGATAATTTTGTTGTATTACTTAGGTGTGGATATTAGCATGAATACACATTTGAAGGCTGTGAAACTTACCCTAAAGGGGAAAAATCCCATTACCATGGATCATTTAAGTGTGAGGGGTAACAGCATCAGATATTATATTCTCCCTGACAGCTTGAATCTCGAGACTTTACTTGTTGAAGAGACAACCAGGGTCAAGCCCAAGAAACCAACTGCAGGTATGCGTTGTTCTTGTATTCTGGCTTGTACATCAATCCCTGCAACTGCTTATGTATTTGTTTTCCTCTTCTGCAACTGTAGGGAAGCCTTTGGGACGGGGGCGTGGACGGGGGCGGGGGCGTGGTCGGGGGCGAGGTCGCTAGACCAGTTGCAGCTTCAATTTTTGGGCCCTGTAGTCTTGCCATGTATTTCTGGAAGTTTATAAAATTAGTGAAGTGGAGAATGACAATACACTGTTTTTTTCTAAACATTGATGAAGCTTTGCTGTGTATTCTTGTGCCTGGTCCGCCCCTACTGTTATTTTACTTTAATGTCATCACAATCATCAAATCCTGGCATGTATTTAGATTGATATCTCATTTTGTACTCGAGTCATTTTTGCCCTCTTTCTTTCACTTATTCCACAAGCACTCTTCGTCGGGTAGTAGGGGCTGTTTGGATCTCTTTCGCATTTCCCTTCTCTACCGCTCGCCTCTTGCCAGACTCGATGCCCAATCGTTCAGATCTGTAGGTGTTTGCTTAGGTCCACACCTCAGGTTTCGCAATTACAATCTCTTTCGCATTTTTTCTTTTTGGATTAGATTGGTCACAGGAAGAGGCTAAATGATAACCTTCAGCCATAAAACTGATGGCGTCAAAGCCTCGGGATCTAGGGAAGTCTATTTGTTGGGGAATGCGAATATGCACAACCGACAACAAAGCTGCCGCCAAGTATGACTTTTCCCTCGAATCATCTTCTATGCCGAAACCACAAATTAGATCCGTTTCTTTCTCAAGACTAGTTAAGAAATCTACGATCTGGTGGGGATTTGAGAGTGATTACCCTTTTGAGATGTGATGTGTGATGACAAGTAGCAAAAGGATACAACTCTTTAGACAATCCTCATTTTCTTCATCATCAGATGCTAATAACTCTTTTGGAATAAGGAATAATTTCATCATAAAACTTGCATTTAATGGCGCAACCCCTAATCTCCAAGTCTCATAAAGAGATGGACAACTGAACAACCTCTATCCTTTTAGATGACTGAACAACATTTTTTGGATCAAAATGTTTTATAAAGTATAGTATGATAAAAAAAGAATTCGAAGAAAAAAAAATGTTATCATAGATGCACTATAATATCAAAACTTTAGTATAAAATACTAATATAAAAAACAATAACTAGTTGAATGGTTACCAAACTAACTATTGGTGTGACCTCTATTTAGCAAGTTTATACCGTCTCATCATTTATCGTAGGTGAAATTGGATTATGTAAAGCTGAACACAATAATGTTAGGCCAAAGCAAGCTTAGGAGCACCAAGTTGAGCTTGAAACTGTAAATGAACTCATTGTTGGAGTGCCTATGAACCGGTTGAATGAAATTGTTGCGTTGTATGGTTAACATGTATTTTATGACTGTGTTATTACATGTGTATGTGATTACTATATAACTATGCATGTTTGGTTTGATATATCATACTTCCATGCATGCAAATCTTATGACCGTGTGTATGACTCTCAGGGTATCATGAATTGAAATGCGTTATAAAGTATGTAAGAAATACAATGATTCTGTATGATAGCATCGCATAGAATGTATGTCATGATAACGTGGAAGTATTGTATGCATCATCCTAATAATGTATGATTTGTATGCGGAGACTCATGCATGTTATATGTACATTAAACATGGATTGCTTCCCCTCATATATTTATATGGATGTATACATATATAAATGATTTTAAGGTGGTCCTATTTCTTTATGTAGTTCCGCTTCGAGAGTGTGAGTAGGCTTATATACAGACATAGAGTTTACGAAAGTAGGGTATTTGCCTAATAGGTCCACGTGCATTTGCGTGAGTCATGTATAGAGGAGTACTATGTATCCAAATCCACTTATAAATAAAAATTTGAACCTAAGTTTATACCTATAATTTTATTTTACGTCCCATAAATACAATTATTACCCGAGAAAGTTGATGCAATTTGTCAAAAAAAAAAAAAACAAAAAAACAAAAAAAAGGTTATACTAAAAAACTGATCAGTAATTATAATATGAAAATCATGTCTTTTTTGGTTGTAGAGATTTATGAGCGAGTGAAAAAAAAAATGTGATTAAAAAATTGGTCTGAAATTTAAAAATAATAAAATTGGGACAAACTCTTACCGTAAATGTAGACAAATGAGGGAAGGGAAGATGTGTGGATTTGATTATTAAAAAAGAAAAGAGAAAAAGCACGGAAGAGAAGGTATCGGATCCAATTTATGTGCATAAATATCTTTTTTTTACAATCCGAACCGACGAGATAGGACAGTCAAATATGTCAGAGTTTGGGATCTTATGCATAAATGACATTAAACAGCTGTTGGCCATAAAGACTCTGCTACACCCTGGCCCCACCTACAAAATCCAAGATCTCTTCTCTCTCGGATCTTATGCATATCATAACCACTAATTCAACCTGTTTAAACTCACCTGACTCAGGAGCATGAAATTCCTTATTTAAAAGCTCAAACATTTTAATTTTTCATTCTCTTATTTGTTCTCGTAGGGACAATATGGAACGCTAGAAGTGTGAGTATGAAAGAAAGTTGAGATGATAGTTGTCAAAGAAGGAATGAAGATTCCATTCCAGATTGGCTGTGAGCTTAAGATGCAGGAATTAATATGCCAGAACAGACAAGGTCCAGTTAATAGATTTTAAGAGATTCTTGTTAATGAAATACTAAGATTGATAATTTTGAGGAGATTTTTTCTTAATAAAGAAAAGTGAAGAGAAATTTGATATTAGACGTTGATGTGGCTTCACGAATATTATTGGGGGGAAGGGAAGGCAGGTGGTGTGTGGAGTGTCACTCCCACCGTCACCGCCGCACATGTGTTTGTCTTTGCCTTTTCTCATGAATTAAATAAATACCCCCTCCCCACAATCCCAGCTTCTCCACGACTCACCTGGGTTGCTAACCACTGCAATGAGGCTCTCCCTCTCCCTCTCACTGCTACTGCTCTCTCTCTTCCTTCCCCTGTGTTTCGCTGCCAATGTCACCTATGATCGCCGTTCCCTCATCATTGATGGCCAGCGCAAGCTCCTCATCTCTGCTTCCATCCACTATCCTCGCAGTGTCCCTGGAGTGAGTATCTCACCATTTTTCTTTTTCTGCTCTCTTCTTCGTTTCTTCTTGCAATGCATTACCAAAATTAAGCTTCATTTTCACTCCTCTCCCTCAGATGTGGCCAAGTCTGATTCAAAACGCCAAGGAAGGTGGTGTGGATGTCATTGAGACTTATGTCTTCTGGAATGGCCATGAACTTTCCCCCGACAATGTAACCCAAATCACTCCCTCAACTCTTCATTGCTAACTCCTTCTCATTTTCTTCTCTCTTTCTTCTTTAGTATCATTTTGACGGCCGATTCGATCTCGTCAAGTTCGTCAACATTGTTCAGCAGGCCGGATTGTATTTAATTTTGCGCATAGGCCCATTCGTAGCTGCCGAATGGAACTTTGGGTAACCTTCGACCTTTTCTTTTAGGTTACTTAGCCCGAAAAAAATGCGTTTTATTCTGCCTCTGCTTCTACAATATTTTGGAGCATCGCATTCACATTTCACGGAGTTAGTTAGCTGCACCCTTTTATAGTTTAAATATTGCCTGGATTATTTACACATGGTTTTTTCTTTGCAGTGGAGTACCTGTTTGGCTGCATTACGTTCCTAATACCGTATTTCGAACTGATAATGCCAATTTCAAGGTAGGTATACACGAGTTTTGAACTTCGATCAGTATTTGGATTTATCCAGACTCTTTTGACTATCTTCCATTTTTTCTGTCTTAACTTGCTTTATTTAATTGTCTCTATTATCATTGTGGCTCCTTGTGGCTATGCGGGAGTTCAGTATTACATGCAGAAGTTCACTACATACATAGTGAACCTAATGAAACAGGAGAAATTTTTTGCTTCACAAGGGGGTCCCATCATCTTGTCTCAGGCAAGCATTTTATGGTCATTCTAGTGGTGGATTGATCAGATTTTCGATTCCTTTTCCACATTTTTTTTTAAAAACTTGTCTGCAACCAAGTGCTTTTTGCTAGAAAGTGAAGACTTCATTAAAATTGAAAGGGTTTACAAGTGTTATGTAGAAGCCTCTAGCTATAATGCATTGCCATTGCGTGCTGAATTTTGATATGTTTCTCGTGTAGATAGAAAATGAGTATGGGGATATAGAAAGAGTTTATGGGGAAGGAGGGAAGCCATATGCTATGTGGGCTGCTCAAATGGCTGTTTCTCAGAATATAGGCGTTCCATGGATAATGTGTCAGCAATATGATGCTCCTGATCCTGTGGTGAGAATCCCATTCAATTACAACTCCTTTCTTCTATTTAATTATTGGCTCATATTTCCCGAGGGATGGAAACAAAAACCTGAAAGGAATTCTTAGGTAATATTCAGTTAATTTTGGACAAATGTTGATTTTGATTTTGATTTCATTCTTTTGTTTGAGAAGCTTCCCTTCCAGAATTTGGTGGAAACCACCTTTGAATTGTGTGTTTGATCACAGCTGAAACTGAAATCTAAATATCTTCTATTAATCATTTCGTAGCATTACTTGTGAATTCAGTCGATATAAGTTTAGAGTTAATTAAGTATTGTACTCGATTCATTTCTGGCTAGCAATTCCGTAAATACTAACTTGATTACATACAAAGCGTAAGTGATTAATTTCCACATTCGAAAAGCTAAAATCAATAAGCTCAACCATCCATTTTGAGCTTCATAGCTTGTTCATCGTCCCATTCCTTAATATTTCAGGTTTAATGCATGGGGTTTCATATTATCTGTGTTTTTTTTTGGTTAACAGTTATATGCTTACTTTTTATTAAGCCATGGTTGTCACATCCCAAGAGTTCCAGTTACTTGTTTTGTACATTAGCATAAGCATATACTATTTGTGAGGGATTGTATGACATAAATATCTTGTTTGGTTGCCATGTGCACATTGTTCAGCTTCATGTGATTGGACTGGAGTAGGTACTCCCTTTCTACTGTTTTCACTTTTTATAATAAGATTTTTCCTGATTTTGAGGTTGCCACCATCCAAAGCTCTAAACTAGCATTAACAATATTTCCTGAATCATAATAAATACTTTTTCTTCTCCCTTTCAGATTAATACTTGCAATTCATTCTACTGTGACCAATTCACACCTAATTCTCCAAACAAGCCCAAGATGTGGACTGAGAATTGGCCTGGATGGTAACATTACGTTTGTCACTTGATATTTAGTTGTATTTATTCTTGACTAAGCATTTTTTTTATCGTATACTTTTTACGTTCCACCTTGCATAATTAATTGATAGCCGGAATATATGAAAATAGAAACACATGGATGCTTGGTAACTTTATTTGGTGTATAAAATATATATCCGTGAAATTTTCACTTTTAAAATTCACAATATTAAATGGTTATTTATATGTATCCCGACCTCAAAGGAAGGAGTAGATGTTATTACCACATGAACATAGGCTCTTGTTGGCGTTGAATTATTACTTATAAAACAAAAATAGTAGTCCATAAATGTATTTGGATTTATATTTTAGTCTTTTTCGTACACTAAAAGTTATTTGAAGATTTGTTTATTTTCTAAGAAGTAATTAAAAAGTAAAAAATTGTCTAAAGATGAAATATGACAGGGAAGCTTCTTAAATTTTTATCTCACAAATTCTATTTAGCATCTTTTTCTGTATCCCCTCCTACCCAAGTCAATCGAAGAAATTCACACATACTTATCTGCTTTGTGCTTTAGTGAGGTAGTTTCCACGTTTTGCAGGTTTAAAACATTTGGGGCAAGGGATCCTCACAGGCCCCCGGAGGATATTGCTTTTGCAGTTGCCCGTTTTTTCCAGAAGGGTGGTAGTCTACAAAACTACTACATGGTAATTGACCTTTTTTCACTATTAAATAATTTATCAAACTGTGTTCTTTAATTATCGTCATTCTAGCAATTTGATCAATCCTTACAGAAGAACCTTCTTCTGCTTTAGTATCATGGTGGAACAAATTTTGGTCGTACCTCTGGTGGGCCATTTATTACCACAAGTTATGATTATGAGGCACCCATTGATGAATATGGTAAGCTGTCTTTTCTAGTTCTATTTGGTTAATTCGTGAAGTGCATCATGATTTACATTGTTTCTTGAACTATAATAGGCTTGCCCAGATTTCCAAAATGGGGACACCTTAAGGATCTTCATAAGGCTATAAAGATGACGGAGCATGTCGTGCTTAACAGTGAGCCAACTTATATTTCGTTTGGTCCCTCTCTAGAGGTAATGTTCTTCCATGCTGCTTGGTGCTGAATTCTATTTTCTGCAATCAACATTTTATTAAATGTTAAAATTAGTCAATGGATTAATATGCATACATACTGGATAAGATATAATCGAAGTCAAAAAGATCAGGTGTCCAAATGTTGGGGAGGCGATACATCTTCCAAATTCCAAAGTGAAGCTAAACTAAATTGCTTAATCTCTGACAGTAGTTTACCTGAATCTCTCTCTCTGTACACAAGTCAGACATATGTAGTAGAGATGTTCATAGGCATCACTTACCATAATGCTACTGGGAAGAACGGTGATCCTAAATTAATATCAGTTTTCGAATTATCGTCTTAGAAATAGTTTACTGATGTTTTTCACAGAAGTGTGTGATACACTAATGTGTACTTTGATTGAAATTGGTACACGAGTTGTTCATTAAAGAAAAGCCTGATGTAATGGGGAAAAGAACAAAGAAACGATGTTAAAAAAGTACACAAAACAATAGAATTATTTTTTTAATAGTATTCCGAAGGCCACATACAGAAAGTGGGTAAGAGTATAACTGTGTCTTTGTACTACTACCACTGTGAAACTTGAAGCATTCTGTATTCTCATGTTTCCATCTTTTCTACCTGAGTTATCATCCCTTTGATTTTGTGCACCCTAGTCTTACGAAAATCTTGCACACGAGTCTCCGTATGCTATCTTACCTCTCTTTAACACTAGCAGTGAAGTTGATTCACTAGTTTTTTTTAATTTATTATTATTATTATTTTTTTATAATGCTATTTAGAAAAGCCTATTCAATATTTTACTGGTGCACTGTAGGCTGATGTCTACACCGACTCATCTGGAGCCTGTGCTGCTTTTATTGCTAATGTAGATGAAAAAGATGACAAGACTGTCCAGTTCCGAAATGTATCATATCATTTACCTGCATGGTCAGTTAGTATTCTGCCTGACTGCAAGAATGTAGTCTTTAACACAGCAATGGTAAGTAATGTTGTTTTTCTATATGTCATTCAGGTATATCTTGACCTTGATTTGTTGTATTTTATGCATATTGACGTCATACTTTGAATGTTGCCATCTTATTGTAGTTGTAGGAAAATGTCTGTGCCTTTGTCAAGTATGTTTGAGAATAGTGATCTCGGAGAAAATCACCCTCATGAAAGTAACCTTAGATTCCCTTGTCATTGTTTATTGCTTGCTCTCAATAAGTATTTTCGAACAATTCTATCATTTTGTCCACCACTCCTTAAGGGTTCTAAATTTGAGGCCTCAGTCCTAGTTAGTATATCCGAAATCTCGTGGATTATTGAGTTATCTAATGATATCAGATGATGAACCCTCAGAAGTAAATCTTTCAAGGTCTAGTCAGCAGCCCTAACGTCTTTACAGAAGCAGATTAATTTTCCATTTCCAACTCTAAAGTTAAATGCTTACCCAGAACCTGTTTAATTTGATAATATTCCACTACGTGTTTCTAGTGTCTGATTATGCCTATTCCTTATCCTAACTGGAATATGACAACATAGGGACCCCACACACTATTTGTCTAATCGAAACACTGTCTTAATGAATCATTACCATGCTTGCTTGTCATGATTTTGTGCTAAAGAGTTTGGCTTGTTTTCACTCTTGAATCCTTACCATTCCTCTTCATGAAATAATGATGATTATTTGAAATCACATACTTTAAATAACCGCTTCTTTTTTTTTTTTTTTTTCCACATCAAGAAGCTCACATGACAGTTGTCTTGTTTCCGCCTATTTTATAGTTATCTTGATGATTTTATGGGGAAGCTATGATTCTTTTAAGGCCGCTCTTCCAGAAAAAGATCCTCTAAGTGTGATTGCTTCTGTTTTATGGATTTTGGATCTGCTATTTAGTCATAAAACTTCTACAGGTTAGGTCACAAACCGCAATGGTTGAAATGGTTCCCGAGGAACTTCATCCTTCAGTGGATTTAACAAATAAAGACTTGAAAGCCCTCAAATGGGAAGTCTTTGTAGAGCAAGCTGGAATTTGGGGTAAAGCTGACTTCATTCAAAATGGCCTGGTTGACCACCTCAATACCACAAAAGATACAACTGACTACCTGTGGTATACAACGAGGTTTGTCTTTCCTTGAAGAGATAACTAAAGTTATATCTAAGGATCCAAATGAATTTGGTAGACTTGGGTTTATAGATTCGTTACTAGATGTAAATGGATTAAGATGATAATGGAAATTTTGTAGTTTCCTTTATCTGGTCAGTTCTTTGGGCCTGAGTTCAATTGCCTGCCAATATCAATATAGTTTTTTCATGTGTTATATACATCTCAATCTATAGCTTGCTTTTAGATGATAAGTAACCTTTCCTTACTCTATTTTCAGTCTTATGAATATATTTGACTCTTATTTCATAAGAATGAAGTATTCTTGGACAAAATGGGAGATTGTGCCACTTGTAAATTGTTTGAAATATGGAGTGTACAATATCAATGGCTTATAATTTACTTTGCTGGCAGCATTTTTGTTAATGAAAATGAGACGTTTCTCAAAAAGGGAAGTCAACCAGTTCTTCTGGTTGAATCAAAGGGCCATGCTCTTCACGCTTTTATCAACAAGAAACTGCAAGGTGCTTAATTATTTATTGAATATCATATTTTAAGCTTCATATCCGTTTACTGGCATACTGGCATGCATGTTGACTAAGGAATGATAACTTTCAATGCATAGTCATCTTCATCATTTGCATTCTTTCTGTATTTTGACAGTATTTCTAACAAATTCTTGTGAGAGGAGATTTAGTTTTCAGGGTTGATTAGGCATCACCCTCCTTAATATGATTTCATGATATAAGAGGACATATGCATTCTCTTCCTGTCATTTCTCTTTATTTCTTTTTAATCATAATTGAAAACATGCATGGCTGGGAAGTTAATCTATCTATATCTATATGTATATATATTTAAAAACTAAGAAAGGCTTAAAGGAAATAAAAGTTATTAAACTAAGCATTTTCTTGATATGTATGTGAGTGAGGATAAAACATTAGTTAGATTGTAATCCTTTTTAAGTTTTTTATTTTGTATTTTGTATTTTGTATTTTTTTAAATTTTTTTTACTCCCTTTGAACATTTTTTTTCTTTTCATTTTATCAATGGGAACTTTCGTGTGTCGAAATGAATTATTTAACTAGATAATTATTGCGTGTTTCTCCCTATAAGTTATTTTTTCATGTATAGCATAGATTTTGCAGTGGATCACTTCAAACTTTCTGTGAACAGTTAGTGCATCTGGAAACGGATCAGATATAACATTCAGATTTAAACAAGCCATTTCTCTCAAGGCGGGAAAAAATGAAATTGCTTTGCTAAGCATGACCGTTGGTCTACAAGTGAGTTGCTTCTTTTGCCATCATCTATCTTGTGTCGCATTGCCTCAAACCATACTTTTCTCTTCTATTTTATTTTATTTACCGAAAACCATACTCTACTTTAAGTAGATGCCCCTTATTCTCAACCATTGAAGCCTTTTTGTAATCCGTAAGTTGTTTCCTTACTTAGGCTTCTTTTGTAGTGCTATTTTTGGTTGCCTGTTTGTATTATTTTATTTGTCTGAATGAAAGCTTGTTTTTATATTTTTTTATTACCTGAAAAAAAAAACTTGTCTACATCATAGATTCTCTTTTGGATCGTGAAAGAAAAATCTCAGTATAAAGTCCAGGGCAATAGAAGGACTTCTTGATGTTGATATCAGCAATGATATCATCCTTGTATTTTTTAATTAGAGGCCTTGCAGAAACACTGCTGCTAATATATATGTTCATTCATAGAAGTTCACAATAACTTTGAAACAATCGGCAACCTCTTTTCAACTGTCTGGGGATACTTATTTTTGCTTTTGGTATCTTATTGTTTTTTTCCCCTTTCTATATTGCAGAATGCCGGACCATATTATGAGTGGGTTGGAGCTGGACTTTCAAGAGTTGTAATAGAGGGGTTTAACAATGGCCCATTGGTCTTGTCTTCTCATGCTTGGTCCTACAAGGTAGCTCTCTCTTTCTCGCACAAAGTCATACTCACGAGCCAACATAACATTCATCCTAAATATTTAGGTGGTGAAGGCATAAGAAACCTTGTTATTTGAGCTAACTCATCTGTTTAAGGCATAAAGCAACCTTTTGAAGGACAAGTTTGGTGGCACATTTTGTACTATGTCATGCTTATATTTAACCCAGAGATCAATTCAAATGCAACTAAATTTCACAATTGCCAAATGCACATCTCTACTTGTTTATAGGGCCATAGGTTCAAATTCCCTCGTAATGTAATATTGTTTTTAAAACACTAAATTTCATACCTAGAAACATCAAGGGGGCCTGAAGGTTTTTGATGAAGGGATTCGGGAGTGAACATTATCATAGTGGTCATGATATGCCTTCATTATCTAATTACTGCAATTTTTAGCTTGGATTGCAAGGGGAACACCTCGGTATATACAAACCAGATGGGATAAAAAATGTCAAATGGATATCAACCAGGGAGCCCCCAAAGCAACAACCTTTGACTTGGTACAAGGCAAGTATTTGACCTATGAGAGTCATTCATTTTGCTGTGAGAAAATGTTCTGGTGTTATCTATGCTAGGTGGTGTTGGAGTAAGTTTGTGGTTGAAAAGAGTAATGATGTCTTCTCTTTTTATTTGTAAAAGAGATGTCACTGTTATCAATTTTGCAGGTTATTCTGGATGCTCCCTCTGGAAATGAGCCTGTCGGGCTGGATATGGTTCATATGGGTAAAGGCATGGCATGGTTGAATGGAGAAGAAATAGGAAGATATTGGCCAAGAAAAAGCTCTGTTCATGATGCGTGCGTTGAGAAGTGTGACTACAGGGGCAAGTTCAGACCAGACAAATGCTTAACTGGATGTGGAGAACCAACCCAGCGGTGGTACGTCACACATTAAAATGCAGTTTTTAGAACAAATCTATTGATCGGTTAATGTTAAGAAGGGAATAACGGTGAAGTCTGATCTAACTTTGTGTAGGTATCATGTTCCAAGATCTTGGTTCAAGCCAACAGGAAATATTTTGGTGATTTTTGAGGAGAAAGGTGGAGATCCAACAAAAATTAGATTATCTAAACGTAAAGTCTCAGGTATATGTGCCCATCTTGGAGAAGGGCATCCCTCGATTGAGTCATGGTCTGAAGCTGAAAACGTACACGTAAAGAACAAAGCAGCCGTCCATTTGAAGTGTCCCGGCAATGCCCACATAGCCACAATCAAATTCGCAAGCTTTGGAACCCCCGAGGGAACTTGTGGAACCTATAGTATAGGTGCCTGTCACGATCCTAATTCTACATCCTTGGTTGAAAAGGTAATAGTTAGCTTTCTTCTACTCTTTGAATCCTGGGTAGTTGTTTTTGGAATTGCCCTGTACTAACATTGTATTAAGATGTCTGATCTTATTTGCAGGTGTGTCTAAACAGAAATGAGTGTAGGATTGAGCTAGGAGAAGAGAGTTTCGACAAGGGTTTGTGTCCGAGTGCAACCAAGAAATTAGCAGTTGAAGCAGTTTGCAGCTAGTAAGGGAGGCGTTTTGCGTTCATATTTCATTCTAGTTCTTGAGAAAAGAATGTCGTCCTTGTATTGCTACCATTGGTTTTAACCACGCTTAAGAATTATGAAATATGAAAAAAGATACTGCTTGTCTTGGTCGTTATACTGGTAGTATCAAGTAAATCTTTATTATTCTACTAAAGTGGGGTTTGTAGGAAGTTTGAGTATTTGATTTGGTTAGTTTGAGTTTGTACGGGCTTAATTATGAAATGCAATTTTTTTTAGAAGGCCTTAGTTAAGATGGAGAAGATAGGTGCAATGTATTGTGTACCGATCTTTTGGAGATGTTAAGAAATGAATAAAAAAAAAAAAAAACAGATATATCTTTGTTTAGTTGTTTTTGTTGGCCGAAGATCGCCAACGACCATTGATTATTGGGAGAAAGTCATGATTCGCACAGGTGGTGATATGTAAATGTGGTTTGCGGGCTATTTCAAAAGTTGAGAGAGGAGTGCTATTTTGCGATAAAAAGTGACTTTTATCCCCTAAACGACGATCTTAGTGGTGTCAAACTCAAACTTTAAGTCATGAACTCAAAAAGTTAGTACTCACTCAATTAAATTAATCTAATTTGTCACACGATTTTAAGAAGTTCAGGTATTCTTGAATGTTACCTTGTAATACGGTGGAGTCTATCATGAACTAATTTATTTTGTCTCCTCTTAGAGTGAGTTTACTCCACACACAATAGTAGTTTCTCGATACATTAATTATGGAGTCCTTTGTTCACTTTCAGGCAGGTTTGTTCAACATACAATAGTATATCCTCAATCAACTACCTGTGTAGTCTCTCGTCATCCCCTCTCAAGTCGGGTTATCATACACACAATAGTGATTCATCATGCAATCTACTTATGTAGTCTATCGTCCCCCTCTCAATACGGGTTATCATACACACAGCGGTAACTCCTTATATCGTCTACTCGTTTCTTATCAAGGCATGTTATATTCTACACACATAGTGACTACTCAAATAGTTCCATTCGTATTACCATCGATCTTATGTGTTCTCGTAGTTCACTTTTGATGTCATGGAGATATATTAGATTTTAGGGCGTCTAGTTGTATTTACTATGTTTATCAAGAACGGTTGTATTAATACGTGAAACTGACGCATCTGTTAAGTTCTTTAGCATGGCTGAAGTTGAGGAAGATATTTGGTGAGAGGCATAGAATTGGGAGAAGGGTTTGTGGATGATGACAAGTTGAGGAAGATCACAAATGAATAGATAGGGCCACCGACAACCAAGTCCCCACCATAGTGACCCAAAAATGGTGTGCAAGTTTAAATGATACATTCACACAACCATATGCAAAACCCATCACTGCATTAATTTGGTCTCAACTTGAGAACAAATTAAGTTTTGACTCCTTGATTATGAGTTTAGGGTTTGAATGCCATCCTAACTTGGTTTTTTTTTTTTTTTTTGGATTTGTTAGAAAATAAATAGAAGTTGGGTGAAAAAAAAAAGAAGAAGGGGTCATTGAAGCCTTTGGGAAACGTAGGTGGGGAAGAGTATGATAAAATTTAATTGTCATTAAATGAGAGTTAGGTATAGATATTAATGAATTAAGTTTTAGGGGCAATCAAACTCAAACTCTCTCTATTTGGAAACTATATATTATATTTGGTTGAATGCCCTTTTCATTCATTTATACTTCAACTTTATTATCTTAATTAATCACCATCTTATCTTTTCATTTAATCACAAATTAAACATTAATGTTCTCACTATATTTTCAAAACATATCATTCAATTATGTTCCTTTTTTTTTCCCATTATTAATAACATTAATACTTTCTCACCCACTCTCAATAATGTACCTTACATTTTCATCCTCCATTAATATACAACACATAATTTAATTCTCCAATTAATACACCTTACCATAACTCTACATCTTCATCTATATTTATTTTATCAAAAAAGAAATGATTTTTTTTTTTTTTTAAAAAAAAAAAGTAAAATTTGAGTGTTTTAAGGATGAAAATGATTTAATGGTAAAGCTAGGGATTTAAGTCATACATAATTGAGAAATAAAAATTATGATATAAGAAATGTTGGTATGATCTATTGAAATCCCACCTTTCCTTTTTGCAATTTTCTTTTTTACATATAATTAAAAAAAAATTAAAAATATTTTTCCTTTCCACCTCTTGGATTCAAATCGAAATGTTCAGATCAAGCCGAGGTTTCTTCTCCGCCGGCAACGCCACGACGGACCTACACCGTGGACACGTCGGATTGTTCTTCATAACCAACACATACGACAAACACCCAGGGCAGCCCACGGCGATCTGAGCCGCCGCCGAGGAAGATGACGACAGAGATTTATTAAAGTTGTCTTCTTCTTGAAACTCTCTCGCTGACGACGATGAGGAGGAATACGACGGCGACGGTGACGATTTCCACAGCGAGGAGCGTTTTCTGATGGGATTTTTATCAGCCCGTTCGAGTGCCGACTTCACCTTATCCAAAGTACAAACGCTCTGATAATTACTCCTCGGCGACGGCGACGGCGGCGGCGACGACGACGACGAGTCCAATTTCAACTCCAAGCTCGTTTCGTGGACCAAATGGTTGGACAATTTGAATTTGGAATAATTGAGCGACGGCGGAAAGTTCAAATCTTGAAGCTTTGCCACTGTTTGATTGGTTTGATGGTTGTTGAAATCTTGAACATTGCTTCTTTGAATGAACATTTTTCCTGACTGAAATAATTTTAAATAATTTAAACTTAGAAATCCACGTGAGGATTTACTCTCTTGTGTGAGGATTTACTCTCTTGTATGATATTGTCTAATAATCTTATTTATAAATTCAAAGTAGCTTAATGGAACTAAACCCAAAATTTCATTATAAGAAAAAGGAAAAAAAAGAAGGAAAGGGAAAATGATACCTTCAAGTCGAGTCTTTTTTCCCAGCCGGAAGGAAGTTGAAGGTCGAGGTCCAATTCTTGGGGGTCGGTAAATTTGGAACAGCCGCCGGTGAGTAAGTCTCGGGTGATGAGAGGCGTTAAGGTGTCGGGGCCAGATTCATTTGCGACCGTCGGATGAGGGTCGTCTTTGTTGTAACCCGTAAGAACTCGCACGTGGGAGGTCACTTCGGCGGCCATTTTGTTGAGAGAGAGTCTGAGAGGGGGAGTGTCGGTTTTGTTGTGCAATGGGTGGGTGCAGAAAGGGGTGTGTATATATGGTGGAAGATTAAGGGGGGCGTTATACAAATTATTAAAAACAAAAATAATGTTGAAATGAATTTCCCCAGTGGGAGCATCTCATTAAACAAGAAAACAATAAATAAGGAAGAAATTAATTCAAAAACTTAGAAACAAGCACCACCTAAGTTATGGACGCATTTAATACCCACCGAATCAAATTCAAATTCAAATTTTTTTCATTTTCATTTTCATTTTCATTTTCATTTTCATTATGCTACACATTTACATCAACCTATACTATATTGTTTCAATTATCATTGCTGCCTCCATCATCATCATACTCACACCTATAACCAGGATTAGTTCAAAACAAAAGACAACAAAATCATTAGTTTATTATTAATCTTTCTTTTTTTTAAAAAAAATCAATTCCAACTTTCTACCTCTAAAGTTATATAAATAAAATAAAAAAACCAAAAAATGCACATGGACTTTTTTTGGTTAACACTAACCATTCATGGGTTGGTGGCACGTGTAAAACTACGAAGCGCTTGGTCATTGCTTATTTTATTGGTTTCTAAAAAGTCAGTTTATTTTAAGGATAAAATGACGGAAATAGCCTTCCTTCAATTAATGCCCGTAGTACATTATAACTCAACACAGCATCCCCCAACCATGGTTGGTTCTACAACTTTTTTTTTGGGAGTAGTTTGTGTTGTTTAATCCTTCAATTCAGTTCCCATTAGTTATTCACTTCACCTAACAATTTGTATTTTGTGAGGAAGAGGAGAGTTTATAAAAATATATACATGGAAATTACTAAAAAGAAGTAATTAAACAAAGGAAATGATGGGGAAGACCAAAAAAAAGAATGGGACATTTATGGAATAAAGTAAATAACATAAGATCTTTCCAAATCCTTGAAAATGTTGGGAGTGTTCTCACACGTACGGGTGGGGGTATTAATTAGGGTTGGTCAAACATTTTGAAAATAATATAATATAAAAACTTGTAACATCAACGCATTAATTCTCATTCAAACTCCCCCATTAATGAAACTAACCAAAATCATTTTATTTTCTATTTTTTATTTTATTTTATTTTAGAATGTGTAGCATACTTTTCAATTTTGATTCAACCCTATCCCAATTCAAGGTGGCCGCCACCCACCAAGCAATTTTAAGATTCAACGCTCCTAGATGTTGCCCTTTTATTTTGGTTTATTTATTTATTTTTAAAATGAATCATTATTTTCTACTTCTTCTTTATAATTGAAACGAGAGCGTAATTCCTTAAATAATAAGGACAACAATAATAATGGTAAACAACTTCAAAGTCATAACCACCCTCTTAAATTATATAACTTCAATAATTTCACTTATAATGTAAATAGGTTAATTAATAAGTCCATTTATTATATTGTTTTAACGTTGTTATTAAATATTCCTGTCCCTATATGATAATGCGACTCCCTTCTAAATCGTGCATGCTTTATTAATTTACTACCAGCAAAATCAAGCTATATTTTATGACCTATCAATAGCTATTTTATTTTTTTATTAAAAATAAACTTATTTTCTCGTCACGACTTCATGTTTTGGTTAAAAAAAAAGAACTAACATATCGGAGGAAAAAGGAAAAAGAGTACGTACAGATAAAGATCTCATTTTTAATTATTTTTAAAAATGTTAAAAGGTGGTAGAATGGGCCCGTTCCGTATTGGGCTTGAATGGTCCGTCGTAGGGCCCAATAAACTTTAATCTTGAGATGTGAGATGAGGAAAAGGGTGGACCCAAGTAAGGATCCAAGATGCAAAGAATCTGGTCGTCGCACCACTCACCAATGCCACAGCTGCAGAATAGAAGTGGGTCCTATTTTTACAAACTTTTTCAGAAATTTGAGTTTCCTTTCATCGAATTCGGGTTCCGATTCTCTGCATTTTTCTTTATTTTCTTTTTTTCATTTTCATTACCTTTTATTTTTATTAAAAAAATGGGAATACACAAGTAAATGAAATAAAATTTGCATGCAAGATTTATAATAATGAAATAGGAGGGAAGAAATAGGAGAGTTACTGTTT